GGAGCACATGAACTCAACCACTACACCACCAAGCCGGCCCTGAGTTTTTTCTTTCTTTATTTGATTTTTCTTAATTATACACTGCTGGATTTGGCTTGGTTAATTTTTTTCTCTTTTCTTTATGGTCTTAAATCTCTTCTTGGTGATCTATATTTTTCTAGGAAAATTTTCACTTAGTCTGTTTAAAATTTGCTGGCATTAAGTTTTTTATAATGTCCTTTTCCCATGTTTTAATCTCTGCTGTTTGTGTAGTTATGCCTCCTTGTCCATTCTTAACAGGATTTACTTGTGCCTTCTTTTTTTCCTCTATTTTAATCTTGCTGAAAGTTTGTCTATTAGTCTTTTCAAAAAATGTTTTGCTAAAAAAACTTCTCCCTGATGAATCTTTATTATTTTATTAATTTCCTGCTCTTCAATTTTCTTTGATGTTTATACTTATTCTAACTATTTGAATCAAATGCCTGGCTCATTCATTTTCAACTTTTCTTTTCTAATATATATACTTTAGGCTATAAATTTCCCTCTAACTACTGCATTTGCTGCAACTCAAAAGTATTTTCATTCTCTTTACATTATAAGCTTTTATGCTTTCCATTATAACATTTTCTTTGACCATGAGTTATCTGGAAGTATACTCTTAAAAATTTAACTTGTCTTCTTAAAAAGTTACTAATTTAATTGTACAATGCGCAGAGAATGAAAGATACATGATACCCTGTCTTTGCTTAGACTTACTTTGAGATATAAAATGCATTCATTTTGTAAGTGTTCCATGTGTATTTTCTTTAATTGTTAGGTGCTTGGCTCGGCACATTCATAAACTCAAGCTTTTCATTTCTGTTATTCAAATCCTGTATATTCTTGCTAAACTTCTGTCAGCCTGACCCATCAATTATTGAAGGTGGTCTCTCACTAAGATTGTGGACTTGTTAAATTTGCCTTACTGTCTGCTTTACATATTTAGAAGCTATGTAACTTGGGACATACAAGTTTAGAGTTCTTATATATTCCTAGTGAATCGTTCCTTTTATCTGTGCATTTTGGACCTCTTATCCCTCAGTAATACTTTCTGCTTTAAACTTTATTTTGTTTGATAGTAATACAGCTCCATCAATTTTCTTTATAGTATTTTCTGGGATATTGTTTTCTGTCTCTTTTTCTTCAACCCCTTTTGGGGATTTGGGTCCTCATATTTTGGGTATTTTTTTGTAAAAAACACATAGCAGAGTTTTATTTCTTTATCAAAGTGACACTCTGTCTTTTAAGCAGTGACTTTAACCCACCTCTATTTATTGTGATTTCTGATATATTTGTATTTACGTCTACATCTTATTTTATGTCTTCTATTTTTTGGTTTCTTTTATTTTCTCCTTTCCTTCCTTCTATTGGATTGAATTTTTAAAATTCTCCACTTTCTTCTCTACTGGTTGGGCAATTAGGACCCTCCACTTCTATCCTCTTAGTGGTTTTAGTGGTTACCTAAAAAATTTTAACACAAGGCTCTAAGTTAATTAATTTTTCATAGCGTATATGAACTTTAGACTTCATTACCTTCAATCCCTGCTCCATGCCTACCTTACATGCTACTGTTGTCCAATATTTTAGTTCCTACTTTTTATACCCTCAAATCAGTCATCATCATTATTATTGTTGTACACAGTCAATGCTTGCTTATCTTTACCCACGTTCATTTCACTGCTTGCTCCATTCGCAGAATCTTACTTCTGCAATCATTTTACTTCTTTTAGAAGTACAAATTTTTGTTGTTGTTTCAGAGAGAACTCTCAGTGTTTGTTTAGTATCCTTTAAGTGGTAAGATGACTGGGTATAGAATTCTAGGTTGTCCAGTATGTTCTCCCAGCACTTTGGAATTATTATTCTACTGTCTTCTGGGTTCTATTGAAGATATTGGGGAGTCTGCCATCCATCTGACTATTGCTCCCTAGTAGGCAATATTTCTTCTTTTGGTTGCTTTATTTTGGTTGCTTTATGATGTCTTTGCTTTGATGTTCAGCAGTTTCATCATGACATGTCTAGAAATATTTATTTTTATTTATCCTACACAGGATGTATTATGATTCCTGAATTTAAGGTTCATTTATTTCATCAATTCTCAGTCATTCTTTCTTGGAATATTCTTTTGCTCTCGTTTTCTCCTTCTCCCTATTTCTCCTTCTGGAACTCCTCTCATTTGTATGCTTGGTCTTCTGAATCTGACTACATGTCTTTAAAGCTTTATTTCATATTTTCTGCATCTTTATCTCTCTGTTCTACATTGTGGGCATCTTTCTTAGATCTAAATTTATACTCATTTAATTCTCTCCCAGCTGTATCAATGTGTTATTTTATTTGTACATTGAGATTTTAATCTCAATAACTATGTTTTCCATTTCTAGAGATTTTATTTAGTTCTTTTCCAAAGCTGTCTTATTCCTTTATTATGTTTCTAATTCCTTCTTTTATGTCTTTAGTTATTACAAACATTCTTATTTTATCATCTCTATCCAACAGTTCTATTATGTGGCATTCTTAAGGGGATAAGTGTGCATGCGTGCATGTGTGTGTGTCTGCTGACTCTTGCTCATGGTGGAGTATTTCCTTGTGTGTTTTGTAATTTGGAGAATCAAACTTAGCTTGGGTTAAAGGCGGGTCCTTCCAGAGAAATTTGTGTTTGCTTCTTTCAGGGACCCCAAGATATCATCCCAGGATCACTTTATGTGTCAAGTTTTTAGGCATAGATTCTAGGAACACTCAGGTATAAATCTGAACTCCAAATGTGTATGAAGCCTAATTCATAGTGACAAGTTTCCAGAGGTTACTTTTTTTCTTTTTTCCTTCTGCAGCCCTGGCTGGGACTAACAAGCTTCCTTCTTTATCATTTCCCAGAGTAGATGTGTGGATTTTTTCTGGTTCACCATTTTACTGAAGGTAGGGTCATATTCTTATGGGGCAACTCAGTTCCAACCCCTATTCGCACTGCCCCAAAAACATGTCTTGTCTCTACATGTTCACTGAGATCCAAGCTCCCAGATTACCCAAATCAGCAACTCACCCTTCCCAGGGCAGCTACAGAACCATTTCAGATGTTTATCAATACAGTTTTTAAGTTACTCTTTGTTCTTGACGCTTTGAGATTTTTCTTACTTTCTCAGGAACTATCCCTGCATGTCAAAGGATGTTTGCTAAATTTTTAATTGTTTAATTGTTGAAGACTTTTCAGGTTTTCTCGTCCACAATATTACTAGGAACAGAAGTTTCATTTACTTTTGTTTATATGATGGGCTAAAAGTTAGTTAAATCTATCGATCTTCTCCTTTATGGAATTTGTCTTTAGTGACATGCTTAGAAAGGCTTTTCCCTTACCAAGATTATTTATCCATGCTTATTTTTGTGGTTTTGTTTCTTTACAGTTAATATTTAAACCACCTAGAATATATTAACTGCAAGACAATAAAAACCTTACATACTAGCAATAAAGCCATCCAAACAGAACAGAATATAGCTATAGTCCAACAACGTGACCTATTACTAATAACTGAACCGTAAGTTTAAAACAACTGCAACCCAATCACAACTCAAGGATCCAGTGAAGCCACCAGGGCTCTTCATCACCTTGACTTGCTGCTCAGCCCAACCCAGTGGCCACATTCCAATAAAACTGCATTCAACTGAAACCCTAATAACCACCATCTGAAGACCACCCAACACAAGGCAGGCACAATTTGCCAAAACACTGCTACAGACAGATATACCTTTCCCTTCTGTTTGCATATAGAAAAAAGAAATAAAAATAGAATTACAGCAAAATGGACTTACATTTGTAAAAAAAATTTGAATAGATCCTATAGAGAACTGTCTAGAGTCCTAGATAGGGAATGTAATAAGGGAAGAAAATCTCCACACTCCACAGCGTGGGGGACCCGCCTGCCTCTAGGGGCTAAGACAGGGCTGGGTCTGCAGTAAGACAGAGCTTGGGCCAAATGAGCCCCTCCCCCCACCCAACCTCAGTGGTGATCCCAGGAGCTCCTTTCAGAGGTTGGTGGGCTCTTTGCCAGGCTTGTCCTAGGATCCCTTGGAGAAGGGATGACTCTGTGTTTATCTGGATGGAGCCACTACAGCCTGTCTCTCAGAGTAGGGAGACCGTAGCTACATTCCCAGCTCTGCCACCATTATGCCACCTCTCAGGCCTCAGTTTCCCATCTTTAGAGTGAAGAGGCAGGATTTGAATTTGGTTTCAAGAAAAAAATCAGAATTAGAAACTAGACATTCTGGCTTCCAGAGACAGTCTCTTTAATAACAACAACAATGATAATAACCACCGTGATCATTCATTTTGAGTGCTTATTGTTTATCAAACTCTGAGCCAAGCGCATTACACACATTATCTCATTCAATCTTCATCAGCTCCCTATGAGGTTGATATTGTCATACTAATTTTACGTTTATTAAATTCAACAAATACTTATTGTGCCAATTACTGAGACTAAGTAATTTGCTTGAGGTCACAGACTTAGTAAGAGCTGAATCAGAATTCAGATCTGGCCCTGACTGATTTACTCACTGCATCCAGCTATCCATCCATCCATCCATCCATTCATCCATCCTTCCCCATCCAACAAACACTGATGCTCACGTACTCCAGCTCTTCCTGTAAGAGAACTGCCTCTTTCTGCATACGCTCCCCTCCTCCATCTACTAACTGCCAAATCTCACATCCCCACGCATTTCAGGCTCACCTTCAATTCACTTTTGTTTTCTAGCCTCTGAGCATCTTCATTAACCTTTGTCTCCAACCTCTCACTTCCAACTACATCTCTCAGTTACTTCAAAGCTGATCCTGAGACTCCCTCCTCCAAGATGTCTTCCATGATGACTCTCACCCTCAGAAGATCTTTTGTGCTCTGAATCCCTCCACCCTTACCCATGAAGGCTGTGACAGCTGGCCGAGAGCCCTTCACACCAGGATGCCCATTTGAGAGTCAGCTACCAGCGGCCCTTACCAGGTTTCCGACCTGCAGCATCTCCTCGAATTCAGTTGTCATGTTGTAGTGCTCCAGCGCCATGAAGAGCGTGTTAATCACGATGCACAGGGTGATGGTGAGATCAGCAAATGGGTCCATGACCATGAACTTCACTCTCTGCTTGATGGACATCCACAGGGGGCAGCACTCCCAGATCAGGTAGCGCTGGGCGAAGCGGGTCCAGCATGGTGGACACTTGCGGTGAGACTCCTCCAGCTCTGGGGGGACAGCCAGTGAGCTGGTTTATTTTTGCTGACTCACTCCTGTATAACTCATGATATTCCAGAGAAGACGTATGACTTACCTGTGGAGACGACACGGCTGCCACAAGGCAGGGGACGGTTAGAGGGGCAGGGAAGGCTAAGGGAAGGGGTGGCCTGTGTCCTGACTCTTTGCCCGGGAAATATGAGAGAAAAGGGCCACAGGGACAGGAGGCCAGGATGGATGTAGGGAAAACCCGGACAGGACAGATCAGGACAGAAGTGGGCTCTCTTGAGACAACAGTCCCACACAGATCTGGGGACACTCAGGGAAGGATAGACTTAAAAGGATGAGACAACATCTCAGATTTGCAAGTTCACGTATAAGGACACCCAGGACAGAACAGGTGGGAATAGATATGGATACGTGGGACATGTTAGGACAGGCGGAGGGTGGCTGGGACAGGCTGGAAGGATGTGAATCCATATGGGACAGGAGGGAACAAGATGGGGGGGTGCCAAATTCAGACTGGAATGGATGCGGGGTTGCCTACCGTGGGACTGGCTGGGACAGATGTGGGAGGCCTGGAATAGCCTGTAGTAGATACAGGAATGGCTGGGAATAGGCTAGAACAGGCACGCTTGGGACAGGATGGTCCCAGGCAGATATGGCGATACTTGGGAGAGGACAGTATGAGGCTGATAAGCACCTGGGACAGGCCAGCACAGCTGTAGGAATGTTTGGAAGAAACACAAACATGGCTCCTGAGGATGCCCAGGAAAGCACAAGCTGAAACAAATGAAAAGACCCCTAGGACAGGCGACACAGACCAAAAAGCGTGGGACAGCTGTGGAGATGTCCAGGGCAGGCCAAGCAGATGGGGTATGCCTGGCTCAGGGCGGTATAATGGTGAGCGTGCCTAGACCAGACGTGGGGAATGTTTGGAGGGCACCGGGTGATGCTGACCTTCCAGGACGCTGGTGAGGACACTGACAGCGCTGAGGGCCCGTTGCCGCTCTCCTGGCTCCTCGAAGCCATCCGCACACGGAGCCTGGGGGCTCAGCATCTGGGGCCTGCCTGGCTCCTCCGACGGTGTGGTCTGGGTGCAACCAGGAGATAGTGTCAGCCTGGGGACGGGGTTCCTACTGGACGTGGGGCAGCTGTTGGACCTGGGACAGCTGGCCCACGCTCAGGTCAGGGGGGTCAAAGGGGGACAGGATGAGAGTCTTGATGGGACACTGGGGGCTGGGCTTCTCTGCTCTCAACTCCCTCTCAGTTAGTGACTCCCCTCACCCTTCCTACCAGTCATGATCTCCTTGTTCTCTTTTCTTCTTCACCGTCTCCCAGCAGTGGTGATTCTTGAGGGTGGACAGGAAACTCCATGTATCAAGTTCTATTACCCAGATTCTTTCATATACATTAGTACATGCAAAAACGATCTGGGAGTCTAAATTGACCACAAGCTCCCTAGAGTCAAGAGCATAAAGAAGCTAAAAAACATCTCCCATGCTCTAAGGTGACATTAATAGAAGAAGAAAGCACGATGCTTAGACATAGCTGGTGGGAGCTTTTGTGGGGCAGTTTGGCTATATCTACCAAGAAAATTTTAAATTGGCCCTGCAAGTCCTCATCTAGTAATGTAACTTCATAAATAATTATACACGTGCACCAAAAATAGACACACAATAATGTTCATTGCAGCATTGTTCCTAATACCATAAAAAAGAAACAGCTAATCAATAGGAAGAATATTAAAATCAATTATGGACACAATCCAACTCTGGACTCTGATGCAGACAATAAAGAGAACGAGACAGTTCCACGTGTGTTCTCAGGAGTGCACTTCCAAGACAAACTGTTTGATGAAAACATAAGGAAAAGACCCGGAAGCTCTACCCTGAACTGTTCACGTGGATGTATCTGGGGAGTGGGCTTGTGAGGGAGGGGAAGGAGAGGGAGAAGCTCCTTTTGCCTGGTTGGATTTGTTTCCAATGTGCTTGCATCATTTTTGTAAGTAAGAGACCCAGGCCTGCGAATGGAGACGTGGCGTGCCCTGATGGAGGGAGGTGGCACAGGTATTCTCTAGGCTTACTGAGAGGCCCCGCGGAACCAAGGAGGGCCCACAAAGGCTTCAGGTCAGCACGGCCCTGAATGACCCCAGTCCGTGAACCGGAGCCGGAGCTGCTGAAGACAGCACGCACGCTCGGTGTGCAAGAGCAAGGCTCTATAATCTCTGTAGGTCAGAGGGGAGACGGACCCAGGCTACCCCGGGTGGCAGAGCCAAGGCCTGTGGTGAGCACCAAATCAATCTGGGCTCAAGTTAAGCTCAACCTTTGCAATTGGTGAGAATGCCCCCAAAATGCTGCGTGGGGATGCAGTGAGCTCCCAGTCATGGAAGTATTCAAGCAGAGGCGCCTGAGGTGGCTGGTCTAACAGCAGTACGCTAGATCCAATGCAACCACAAATCTGGCCAGCTTAACTCACAAGCATGTCTTAAATTCTCCCACCTTCTCTCCTTCACCATCTGTGATCGTTCAGGTTATCATTTAGCCAATATTTACTCTTTCCTCTCCCACTGTGAGTGAAGAAAACCTCCCTGTGCTATCGATGACCCACTTGCTTTGGCCAATGGAACGTTAGTGGACGTGATGTGAACAGAAGCCTTAAATGTGCTTGTGCTATTTGTCCTGCTCTTGTACTTCAGTGATTGGCCATGAAAAGAGCTTCCCCAGCTAGCTGCCATCCTTTCAGACTGGGCCTCAGAACAAAGACAAGTGAGGCAGCCCTGAGCCTAACCCACAGGGTGGAGCCAAGCCAATGTGCAGTCTGAAGCACAGCTGCCCAGCCCACCCAACCGAGACCAGCCAAACCATGGTCAACCTGCAGAGAAGTGGATGTGAGAATAAAGGCTTGCTGTTAGCCATTGGCTTTGGGGGTAGTTTTTTACACAGCCTTATTGTGGCACTAGCTGACTGATACACCATCCCAGTGCAAGCCATCGTCATCTCTTTCCTAAAACTACTGCCACAGCCCCCTCACTGGCCTCTTCTTCTTTTCCCTCTATTCTCTACACAGCCGAAAGGGATTCCCTTAAAAAGTAAATCAGGTCACGATACACCTCTGATCAACAACTCCCCTACCCCACAGCTCCCCATCTTACTCAAAGTAAATCCAAACTTTTCTATCGCCTACAAGGCCCTGCAGAGTCCAAATCCTAACTCATCAACCTCATTTCATATATCTTTCTACTGTTTCCACCATATCAGGCCTGCCCTGCCCCTTCATCCCTTGAAAGTCTCGTGCCTGTTCCTCTTCGGGGCCTCTGCACTTGATGTTCCCTCTGCCTAAAACACTATTCTTTCAGATCTTCGTGGATGGCTCCCTAAAATCATTTGTCTGTCAATTTTAACGTTACTTCTGCAGGAAGGACTTCCCCGACGATTCTAACAGCCCCCATTCCCAACCCCACCCCTAGCAATTTTCTACCATGTGACCCTATTGCTACCTGGAATATTGACCCGTTTACTATCCATCTTCCTGACTACACTGTAGGCTGCATGAGGGCAGAGCTCCTGTCCATTCTCTTCACGGCTATAACCCTGGAGCCTCAAACACTGCCCGGCACTCGATGCAGCTGGCTGGTGCTGGGTAAATATCCGCTGGATGGAGAAATACTCAGGAGTCAGGAGGCTTGGGTGATGAGTTCCAGCTCTGCCCCCTAACTTGCTGGATGACCAGGGGAAGGAGGACAAAAGTCGAACACGTGGAGGGAGAAGGGCAGTTGAGTGGGCCTCCCTGCCCCCATCCGGCCCTCGGGGTCGGCGCTCACACAGACAGCCGGCAAAGAAAGTCTTCACCCTCCACGCTCAAACTTGATAAAGGAGATGTGAGCTGTCAGTCGGGTTGGCCCTTCCTGCCCCCACCACCACGGTGTTAAGCCCCAGCTTTGCGCCAACACTGAGCTTTGTTTTCAGAGGAGAACTGGGCAGAAATGTCTCACTGGGGACCCAGTGGAGGCAGAAAAGGCATTCCCGGGGCGACAGTCTGCTCATCTCTTCAACTTTTCAAATGTCTCCATCTTGGTTGCTAATTCCTTTAACTTTGCAAATGACCCCCTCGACCTGCTAATCCCTTTAAGGTTACAAATGGGCCCCACAGAAGTGCGAATGAGTGAAGTCAGAGTTCCCAGTAATGAAGTGTTTGGACTTGGATTCCTCCTGACATGTGCAGCACAATGAGATGATTTTCACCCTAATGAGATTAGGAAATTCTATTAGCGCTCTGTGGCTGACCTGATTCCACCAGACTGGGGCTCCAGGGCTGGATCTGTAGGGGGTTCTGCAGGCACCGGCATTCGGGGTTCCTGGCAAGCCAGACACCCACCCTCCCAGTGATGGCCAGGGGCCCTCCCCAGACCCCCGGGAAGCTGCGCTCTGCCCCAGATGGATTCCCAGGACCCTTCCCTTGACTCCCTGCTCCAGAGGGGCGTGAGGGCCCCAGGAGCTCTGCCCCAGGAGTCTTTACTCCTTCCTGCTCCATAATAACAATAATAAATAATAATAGCAATTACTTGAACATGAGGCCAGTACTGGTCTAAGCACCAGACAGGTCAGAACTCTTTTAGTCCTCACCACAACCAGCTGATGTGGATGTTAATTTTATTTCCACCTGACAGATGAGGAAATTGAGGCACAGAGAGATTAATTAACCTCTGCAGTCCCAAAGCTAGAGCAAGTGTCTGAGCTGGAGCAAAGGAGGCCTTTCGGCTGTGAGCCCCCCTCCACCTTCCTGCCCAAGTCTCCCTGGCCTGGCCCAGCTCCCTCAGGAAGTCTGCCCCCCTCCATCTTCCTGCAGGCCTTGGGGTCTGAGCCCCACGTTGGCACTTTCTGGGCACTGTGTTGGGAGGCAGGGGTCAGCAAGGACACCTGATGGCTAATTGGGCAGTCACCAGTCTGTCATCATGGGATCAGCAGACTGAGTGATCAAAACTGTGACTGGCCTTTCACTATCTGGCCGTTCCCTGCCACCTTTCTGAGAATAACTCCAACTCCTCTCCCCTTTGCTCCCTGGTTTCCAGCCATAGTGACCTGATAGCATTTCCTCCCATAGGCTAGGCATGCTTCTGCCTCAGGGCCTTTGCACTTGCTCTTCTCTAAGCCTGGAACATGCTTTCCCCAGATCACATAATGACGGTATATTGTCATGACATCATCACAACATCAACATAGTCATGCAATTCCTGATTGCTTTACCCATATCAGCCCATTAATCCCCGCAACAATCCTGAGGTGGGTAGTTTAAATCCACTTTACAGATGAGAGACCAAGGCACAGAGAAATAAAGTAACTTGCCTACAGCCATCCAGTTGGTAAGCTATGAGGCAGGATTCGAACCTAGTTTGTCTCCATAATCTGGGTGCTAAGCTGTGCCATACCACCCTCACAGTTTCAGAAGGCAGCCTGGCTCCCACCCTCGCCTCCTCCAGGTCTTTGTTTAAATGCCCCCTAATGAGTGGGGTTCCCTCTCCCCCTCCCTGTTTTGTCCTCCCACAGCACCTGTTACTTAGGCTCATATTGAGTTACCAGTCTATAAAGTACTGAAATATTTCCAACTGGATGAATAATTGATGCCCAAAACCCCATAAACATCCCCTTGTCACTCTGGCCCTTCTCCTGGGACCCCCTGGATTGTCCAGATCCAGTGACTCTACAGGGCTAACACCTGACACACACAGGACCTCTAGGACAGGTCCTGAGCCACCACAGCATCTCTGTGCCCATGCCTTACCAGTTGCTAAGTATTTAGCTATCATTCTCATTCCTCACCATTACACACCATGCATACATATTCTCCCTTCTTTCCCTGATTTGGTCTGTCTGCCCCCACTAGCATGGAAGCTCTTTGAAGGCAGAGATTTTCTGGTAGGTTTATTCACCCCCTGAGCCCAGCCCACAATTGGTGCTCAGTAAACACTTGGTGAGTATTTTTGGACCTGGCGCTGGGGACCAGTTTTGGAGTCCAGATCTGCCTAGTGCTACATCGCAGGGCTGGCTCACCGTGTCTGGGGGGCGCTCCAGCATTATAGGGCGGAGGAGGCGGCTTCCTGGGGAGGTGGCCTCAGGGTCGCCTGCCCCCAGCAAGGAGACCACCCCGTTGCAGTCCACGGTGCTGTTCCTTTTGCCATTGAGGGCGTGGCTGGGAGCTGAGGTCCCGGGACTGGGTTGTCCCAGGGCACTAGGCCGGCGCAGGGGCCAGGGCACCAGCAGCGATGTGCGGTGGCTCTCGCTGTCCCCTGCTGTGCTGTTTTCATCATCTGCAAAATCAGTTTCGGAGCCCAGGTCTCGCCGGCGAAAGGTGAAAATGCTCCCGCGGCTGGAGCGTTGCTTCATGGAGGTCCTGCTGAGCCCGTGGGAGATGCTGAGACGATTCTGAGGGCGTGCAGAGAGGGGATATGACCAAGACAGCTCTTCACATACCCCCTGCCTACCTCTTGTGGCATCGGCCCCCGTTCAACTTCTTGGAGCACTGAGGGCTTATTGCCTGCCACACGGGAACTGGATGGGTGCACCAGGGGGTGTTCAGGGAAGAGGTGTGGTGTTAGAGGAAGTCTTGCATCTTCTGGGATCTCTGCTCACCTGAAGCCTGTGCCTCTGAGGCTTTGAGATTGAAGCTTACCTGGGCCTGAAGGTGGGGCTAAGGCTGGGCACGGGGGCAAGGAGGCCGGAAGGCTCCTGGTGGTGCAGGCAGGCCTGGCCCAAGCAGGACCTGGGGCAGTCAGCCATGCCCCTCACTCCTTAGGCTCCTGCCAATCCACACCACGGGGTGTCCCCCAGCCCCAGTGCTGGGGACTTAGCTGAGCTTGGGGATATTATAACACTCAAACCTACTGTGTCCCTCTGCCCAGGGCTCTGCCACTCCAAGAATGGCCATGGGAAACAGGAAGGGCTAGGAAGGGGCTTGGAAGGGGCTCAAGGATGCTGTCGTTGGGGAGCACCCAAGGGGCTGTGACTGCCCCAGGGGCCTAGCATGGTGGCTGTGGTGGATGCCAGAGCCAAGGCCAGGGATTACCATTGCTCTGGGACCATCCTCCGAGTCGGACTTGGGGAACCTGTCATCCCCACACTCCTCCGTCCCTGAAGACATTCGTTTTCTCCTCTTGCTCCTTCTCTCACAGGTGGTTACTGGGGCCAAAGGGGACATCTCCAAGGAGCTGCGAGACACAGTGTCCACACCCCTTATGGTGAGAGCCTGGAAAAGGGTGGAAGAAGGGATGTCTTGGTTATGGAGACTGTGCAACCTCAGGCTAGGGCAGGCCAGGCAACTCTCAGCGTCTTGGTTTTCCCCATCAGTATGCGGACTTGCACACCTACCCCCAAATGGGCATCACAGAGAGATGAGCTCAGACAGACCCAGAATGTTCTGAGAAAGATCAAGATCCAGGGAGGAAGAGAGGAGTGGCTGAAGTGAAGAGGAACTTGTGGGAGAGAGGAGGGAGGGGGGTGCTGATGAGTAGAGGAAGTGACAGAACTAGAGGGCAGGGAATCTTCTAGAAGGTTCAGTTGGCCAAAACAGGTGCTGGGGGAGGTGGCACAGGACAGTGAGAAGAAAGTGGATGTGCACAGCCTGGCTTCTAACAGGCTTACTCTTAGTTAGCCTCCAGCACCTGCTGTGTGTGGAACTGCTAGTAGCCAGGGCAGCATCGTCAGTGTTTATTCTCTGAGTTAGGTCAGGCCTCCGACCCTGGACCTTTCTCACTACCCCACCAGAAGGCATCCCTGGAGTAGGGAAACTATGTCCATGAACACAAAGATCTCTTTGATCCAGCATGCACTATGTTCACAGGGCCACCTTTACCCAGCAGGCACCACCTGCACCTGGCGGACACCACGATCCTAGGGAACAGCTTTCCCCCGCAGGTACCACATTCACAGGGCCCACCTTTACCCAGCAGGCACCACTTCTCCCCAGCAGGCATCTCACAAACAGGCACTGTCTTCACCTAGCAAGTACCGAATTTTTACCCAGCAGACACCACATTCAGGTGAAATGTCTGTACCCAGCTGACACCAGCTTTACCCAGCAGGCACTGCCTTTTACCCAGCAGGTGCCACATTTACAGGTACCAGCTTTACTCAGTAGGCACTAGCTTTACCCAGCATGCATCATCATGTCTCCAGGCACCCGCTTTACCCAGCATGCACCATTCTCCAGGCACCCACAGTCAGGTGAAGGCTGGGTCTGGAGGCTCCTTGGCTGCGTCCTGCTCACCCACCTCATGCTCTTTCTTGAGCATCTCCATGGCTTCCTGGAAGCGCTTTTCCTTCTCCTCAGTCTCAGCGATGGTGGCTTGGTTTTGCTCCTCGTAGGCCATGGCAACCACAGCCAGGATCAAGTTCACCAGGTAGAAGGAGCCCAGGAAGATGACAAGCATGAAGAAGATCATGTAGATCTTCCCTGCGGACCTCAGGGTCTGGGGGAGCAAGGGGGCAGAGGTCATTCTCACTGGGGCCCCTTCTGGGTCACGGTCATGGCGTTTCCAAGCTGTCCAGTCTGGCTGTGCCAGGGTTTCAGAGGACCACAGCCGGGGGAGGGGGTAGAGCAAGTCCCACCGACAGAGGGAGGTAGGAGGTCTCAGCCAGCTGGGGGAAGTGTTGCACCCACAGAGGGACTATTCCCTCACAGAGGGTGGAGGAGTGTCTCCTCACAGAGCATGGGGTGTCCTATATAAAGGGAGAGGTAGTAGGTCACCAGCAAAAAGAAAGGTTCTTTGCTTGCTGAGCCCCTATCCCTCAGATACAAGGATCCCTGACCCCTGCCCCTCCTGAGCTCTCACCAGTGGAGAAGCTCCTGGGGCCACCTCTAGCTTAGTCACTCGTGCAGCCTTGGCCCTTGAGGGGCCCTGAGTCCCATCCTGGTGTCCCTCTGCTGGCCTCACGCACCCACCTACCTGCTGGTAGAGACGCTCCCAGCAGTCCTGCGTCATCAGACGGAAGAGTGCAAGGAAGGCCCAGGCGAAGGAGTCGAAGCTGGTGTAGCCGTGGTCAGGGTTCTCGCCTGCCTTGAGGCACCGGTAGCCCTCGGGACACGTCCTGTGGCCAGACACGCAGACTCTGGCTCACGCTGTAAGGGATCCTCTGCCCCTGAGACCCTGGCTGAGACTGACTCATCTCTGGGCAGCCCAGCATAGTCCCCACTGCTTCATGAGGCTGTGCGTCAGGAACCTAGTGCCGCACTGCTGGGTCCCGCCTCCATGACTTTTCATGCTGTGTCTCCCACCTGGGACATCATCTTCTCCTTTTCTTTACCCTTCTGATTCTGCTAGGCCTAAATGCAGCTCCCTTCTGCCCACATGACACACCATTCCAGCTGCTGACTGAGTTGCCTCTCCCCTCATGGAGGAAGCACCGAGGGCCTGGCTTGCATCTCTTCCTCTGCCTGCCTACCCCACGGGGAGTTGAGCAGAGTGCAGGCATGCAAGGGGAGCAGTGAGGCTTGGCTGAGCTAAACAGGATGCAGCCCAGGGCAAAGGGTGGGCCAAAGGGTTGATGGATGATTCCGGGGTAAACGGGCTGGGGCTTGGCCATTGCTGGAGAATGTGCCCATTTGCAGGACTGCGCACACAGGCACAGGGAGGCAGACCCACAGCTCACTGAGTTTGAGGGGATAGCCTTGTTCTCAAAAAGGAAGCAGTGGGCTTGATTCATGCATGCGTGTGTGTGTGTGTGTGTGTTTGTGTGACAGAGGTTGAGGGAAGGGGGACTTAGTCAGTGGGAGGATGCAGCCAAAGGCCTCTGTGCATTGCTAACGTCCTAAGACCTTCTAGACAATCTCTTTAGCGACAGGAAGGGCTCTGGAACTTCATACTCAGAGATGTGGGCCTCAGATCACCTCCCCTACCAGGTGAGCTTGTGGGCTCCCTGCCCCTAACAACCTATGGCACAGTAACACTGACCCAGACACTGCTGTGCACAGAGCCCTAGAAGCTGCACATGGTTACTGGGCGTCTCTGGGCACCACACTCAGGCTGCAGGTACAGGCCCTGCTTGTCCCGGAGGAAAGTCTCAGAGGCTGTTGGGGGAACCACGTTCACTCTGGACCCGACGCACAAATTGGCAGGGAGGAAGGAAAGACTGGAGTAGGACAAAACCACCTGGGGGGCTTCTGGAAGGAAATGCAGCCAGGGTTGGGCTGTGGGGAGCCCTGCAGGGCCTCCTGAGCTGCCCCCAGTCCCTCCCTCCAGATCTGTGTCCCCATCCCTTTCTTACCCCCTCTGCAGCTGTCACCCCTGTGGTGGGGGCGGGGGGAAGCTGCCAGGGGCCTGGAAGGGCGTGGAAATGAGGCAGGGGGAGGCCTCAGTGTCCCTGGGGTCAAGGGCATAAACTAAAAGCACAGTCAGTTGAGAAAGCACTGGGAGACTCCTCTGGCTGAGTGAGGTGGCTCTGGGTGGGGGGGCGCCACATACCCAGCATCAGAGCTGTTCCCACACAGTAACACGTCAGAAGTGCCATTCTTGAGCAGGTAATTTTCTGGAAAAGAAACACCCAACGGTGAGGGGCACGTGTGGCCGACTCCTGGGGTTCCCTCTTTGTACCCAGGGCTTTGGGGCGGTAGAGACATCTCTGGCGGTCTTCCCTCCTCTTCTCTGACCCTGTCTGACCCCTACCCTCTGCCTGGTCAGGCCTGAGAAAACTCCAGCTGCTTCTCTGGCCTTCCTCCTGCTCCTCTTCAGATGTTCAGCTGCCACTGTCCCCTATACTCTCAGAAGAAACAGGAAGCCCTGTGGAGGCCCTCAGCTGTCCCCACAGGGAGCTTGTGCACCTTGCCCTAAACCACTCAGGGGGCCAACCAGGGCCAAGAGAGGAGGCAGGGGTCTGAGCAGAGTTCCAGCTTGGCTGCTGATTCACGTGTGGCCTTGGCAGCTACTGCCCAGTTCTGGAACCACTTCCTTGTGTATAAGGTGGTGGGCGAGGCCTGCCACACTGATGGTGCCGATGCTGGGGCCTGTCCAGATGGGGCTGGGGCTGGACCAGATGAGAAAAGAGACACCCAGTCCTGTCCTCTCCTCTCTGTGGCCATCCATCAGCCCCCAGCACTCACCACCACCTGCCTTGGTCTTAGGCAGCAGTTCTCGAAGTGTGGACAGCAGTATCAAGCAACAACTGGGACTGGTTAGAAATGTAACTTCCTGAGTGCCACCCCAGGTCTCCCAACTCAGAATCTCTGAGGGTGGGGCCCAGCACCTGCGTTTTTTGGAGGCTTCCAGGTGACTCTGGTGCACATTGAAGTTTTAGAACCACTGCTATATGGTCACAGCTGAACCGTAAGCAAATTTACTCACTGAATTTCTGTTTCTTTTTCCAAAGTGGATTGCTGGTGTATGTAAGTGGCCCTAACTTCCAAATGGCCCTCGGGATTCTTGTGGCCCAGAACATGGCCTTGCACCAGTGTCTACCTTTGGTCCAGGCCGACGGCACTACTTAAGAGAGCTGCTGGCCCTCAGCCTGGAGACTGGAAGTGTACACCATGGGGCAGGGAAACAACAAGAGGGGCTCACGTGACCTTGTACACTCACCAAGCTTGTTCTGACCCTCTGGCAGGGTTCTGGGGTGCAGGTGTATGGAACGAACATCTTGGCAAAGAACGATGAAGTCAACTGAAAAATCTCATGCCAAGCAGATGGGACCTGTGAGCCTCACAAACTACTCCAACTCCATGGCTCACCCTTTCCCAAGCTAACACTTCTCTCTCTGCAGACAGGCCCGCCTCCTCACCATTCCTGACACTCTAGGGTCAGTCCTACCTCCAAACGTCGCAGCTGCTCTTCCCTTGTCTGCCTCTCCATCTAACTCCATCATCCCTGTTCTTCAAATGTCATCTCCCCATCTAGCCTGAGAATTCACGAGGGCAGGCCCTAAGTCTGTCCCCTTCTGTCCTCTCTTGTGGAACCCCCAAAGGGCAGGGGCAGGGATACGTGAGCACACAGCAGGGTCTCTAGGGGATCGGGTAGGGCTTAAACGGCCCTGGAGCGAGGCTTGTCCTCTGGCGAGGCCTGTGTGGGAGATGCCCCAGTCCTGGTAGCCTCACAAAGCCCTGCTAGGGCCACAGAAACAGTCCGCACCTGGGTCGTTGAGGTAGAGGTCCAGCGATTCCCAGACCAGGCCATCGGCCTCCACAGAGCCGTTGGTGTCGTTGAGTGCCGTGAAGTTGCGCACACACTTGTGCCTCAGGTTACCCATGAAGAGCTGCAGGCCAATGAGGGCAAAGACGCTGAGGCAGAAGACTGTGAGGACCATCACGTCGGCCAGCTTCTTCACAGACTGGATCAGGGCCCCCACAATGGTCTTGAGGCCTGGGGAAGGCGAGACGGAGCACAGGTCACCCACGGGCACCACGCTCCCTGTTCCAGTGGGCGGGGGCCGGGCCTGAGCGGGTGCTGGGCCAGGTGGGCAATCACGAGGTGGGGCAGAGCGAAGGAGGCCTCTCTTGGGCTTTTTAGACCAAAGCCCCCCTTTCTTCCGCTGCCGAGATTCCGTCCTCACTCCCTTGGGGCAGGAGTCCAGTCCGGCCATGTATTTTCAGAGGGGCCAAGTCCTCTGCTCGCCACTAGCCAAATACATGAAATGGGTGCGGGAACTGCTGTTTTCTTGAGGATGCAAATGCTCAAAGCCTGTCCCTGCTGGCTGGTCCCGAGGTATGCCAGGCCGACCCCTTTAGATGTAGCCCATGGAGAAGAGCCTGGGGTTAGGCCCATTCCAGGGCGATGGAGGGGCCTCAGCCTTGATCCTGAGATGGGGAGAGACACAGCCATTCCTGGTGGGGGAATGTGGTGCGTGCACTGGGGGGCCGCAGGGGAGGTCTGGGAAGGCCATGGCAGGTAATGTCCCAAGGGGCCTGTTCTGGCTTGGGCCTCACTTTTAGGAAAGGTTCAGGGGTAGGGGAGGGGTTGACTTATTTTGCATTTTCCTCCTCTGCCCTGTCCCTCTGGGACCCATGCCCATCCACTCCATTCCCCAAAGCTGAGAGGCCGTGATCTGTTAGTGGCACAGCCCAGCTCCCTGCAGAAGCCAGCACCACACAGCGAAGTAACAGAAAAGCACGTGTAGATGCATTCAGTCTGACACTAGCTACTGTCCTACAAGTTCGAGCAGAGCAGGGCAGCGAGGGGCTTCTCTGCCAACAGCAGGGCCCTGCCCCCACCCACACCGCGCTCCCATCGAAGCGGCCAGATCTCAGATTAAGCTCTATCCATCCACTGTCCAGCCGGTTAATGTGTTAGGAGCACCTGTGGCTACTGTGCCCAAGGCTGCTGTGCCCGTGACCCAGAGACAGGGAGGCAGCGATGGGCAAGCGCGTGGGGAAGTCATCCCCACAGACCTGCTAATGCTGCTGCCCGCCCAAGGCTCAGAGGCACTCCGTGGTCTATGTGGAAATCATCCTGGCAGATGTTGGCAACTGCCTGGGCAGTGAGGGGACCTTGCAGGGGTCTGGGCCCGGAGTGGTAGTGGCGGGATTCATGAGCCCCTCCTAGTCTAGAACTCCTCATCTCCAGCGGAGGTTCTAGGACCCCTCAGTAGGCACACTCTGGTTCTGCACACCAGGCCTGGAGACCCTGCCCAGACTGTGGGGGATGGAGGGATAAAGCGAAGGGTGGTGGGCAGCAACCCGCATACCCAAACTAGACTCTGCCTCAACCGTTAGGCTAAAGTATCTTTGGCCTAAGCATCCAGCTCAAGGCCCAGCAAAGCACTTCCTGGTCTGTGGAGACAGCGTCTGTGGGGACAATCAGTTGGTGAGCACAGACCCATTCCTTTAGAAGTTTTTCATATTGATGACAGAGTTCTCTTCTGGCAAGAATGATCCCGGGAAAGTAACAAGATTCTTTCTGAAAAGACCCAGGAAGCAATGAGTCCTGTGGGGTCAACTGGGAAATTCTCCAGCTGCTAAGTTCTAACAGGCTAGGTGAGGAGCCCTTGGAAACCAACCATTCTGATTTCATTCCCATTTTACGGGAAAGGAGACTGAGGTATAGAGAGGGCCAAGGCTATTAAGACTCAGCTCGGGACACCTCCTCCAGGGAGCCTTCCATAATGCTGACCATAATAGCATTTTTCTCATGTCCAATTTCAGGGTCTGCTGTCTGCTGCTTCACTGGGTTGCTGGCAGCTTGAAGAGACCGAGTAGGGCTGGGTTGAGGTTGGTGAGCTTCCTCCTTTTCCCCAGGACTGAGAAATATTTTCCTTTGTCAACCTTTCTTATAAAACAGACTGGAAGGTGCCTTTTCTTAACTGCTGTGGTCAGTGTGCTTATCTGCTCCCGTGAGGTGTATGCTGAGAGGTTGTCCCTGGGCCCCTGGAGGACAGACCCTGAGGCTTCGAAGCACGTATGTGTTGGCCAAGGCCAACGACGTCTGTCTCAAGGGGGGTGGCTCCATGGGAGCGGCTGGGGGTGTACTGCCCCACCAGCTACTGGCTCTCAGCAGGGGTTTGGGCCACTTGTGGGGGCAATGGCCCTGTGCACATCCTATGGGGGGTTCAGATGCCTGGGGAATATTCTGGCTCAGTGTGAACACAGCATAAGTGGGGGCTCTTCTATAAGATAATTTAACCCCACCGGGGGGAGTCTGAACTCCTCCAGGGAGCTCAGACAAGGCCCCTACCTCCTTGGGGGCAGCAACAGCTAAAAGCAGGCCAAAGGCCCAGGACCCACCAGCTTTCCAACTCAGCAGTGGATACAACCATCTGGTTCACCTAATTCTTCCCTCAGCCTTGACACCTCCCCAGATGGGTGGCACACAACCTGGCTCCAGCTGCCTTTTTGAAAACAGTGCCTTCTCCAGCTCTGAGTGTGGCTGCATTCAGAAAAGGCTCTCGAGGGAGCCTCTGGGCACTGCCGTCTGGGCCCTGAAATCATCACAAGCCTTTGGAGAGCTTTCCTGGATGGACGGGGTAGACCGGCTTTCTAGAGAGGCTGTCTGGGCTTAGAAGATTTCCCGGGCACAGTTGCCAACATCTGTGAAGGAGGATTTCTTCCTGAGGCTACCATGCATGGTTTGCTAAACCTCTACCGCACCATGCAGCAAGGACTGTTAGACGCCAAGGCCCGATGCCACCTGTCCACAGAGTACGCGCCGTTTCACAAAATGGGGTGTGGCTCCGGCTGTGCAGACGTCACGAGAGCGGGCACAAGGCCGGGGCTGGGCACTCAGTCTCGAAAGACCGAGCCACAGTTGTCCTTTTTCGTTTTGGGTGTGTGTGTGGATGATGCTTCAGGCTGAAGCAATTCACACACAAGCTTTTAGTTAGTCAAATAGCTGAGCTCAGTTTAAGAAAGAAATCACTCTCTTGGGAAGATGTTGGGTTCAATCCAGGGCCTGCCATGGGGTGCTCTGAGCCCCCCTGGTGTCTGTGAGAGGGGGCTTTGCTGGGGTGGGCAGCCGGAAGCCCATTCTGAGGCTTCCAGGGGACAGCCGTGTCCTCTGCCTGACAGACCCCACACCCGGAGCTCTGGGAAAGGTATTCTGGTGACAGGCACATTCGAAGGGGCCTTCCCGAGGCTCGCCTCGGCTCCCCGGTGGCTGGAAAGGCCGGAGCATATCCTGGCAGCCTTGGCGTTTAACCTGATTTTCACCTGAAATGACTGATATAGTTTTCAGGGCCCGGAGGACTCGGAAGGTGCGTAAAGCTGAGACATTGCCCAGGTCCACAAATTCAGTGGTGTATCTGTAACAAGGGAAATTCACACACGAGACAGTGACAACACGCCAGGAGGAGACACACGGTTGGGGGTGGGGAGGGGGAGACAGAGAGAGAGTCACTTGTAGCTGAGATCTGAGAGGCAAGCTGGCATCTTACCTGGGATAACTGAAATAGTTTTTAGAGCTCTCAGGACTCTGAAAGTTCGAAGAGCCGACAAATTGCCTAGTTTTATATTTTCTGATACATACCTGCAGAATCAAACCACAGTTATTGGGAATTACAAAGCGGCACCTCAGCCTGCCCTCCCCGACCAGCCCTCTCCCTTCTCCCCCTCCCACAGGGAGGCTCTGGATGGCCTGGGATCTCTGCCAGGTCTCCTTCCTGATCTCAACCCTCCTGACACAGGGACCTCAGTGTGGGTGCCTTAAGGATGTCCACACTGGTTCTCCCAGTGATGGCCCCGTGAACAACCTGTGCCAGGATGTGCCGCATTCTCCATGCCACTGGGACGGTGGCACAAAACCATGTGGCAGGGTCTGAGGCTGGGGACACAGCAGGGTGATAGTTTTCCAGGAGGCTCAGGCCGGGTGATAGAGGAAGCAAGTGGGTTTCTGGTCCTAGTTTTGCTCTTTCTTCTGCAGACTGTGGTCGACTCGTGTCTGGCTGCTCTGATCTGGGGGACCCTCAGCCTTGGCTGCTATCACCACAGAGGCGTGGCTGGGTCTGCGAGGGCTGCCCTCTTGCTCCTTCCAACCAGAAATCTCTGTGCAAAGAGTGGTTCAGGAGTCCCTGAAGTCATGAGGTGGAGGCGACCTGAATCCTCCACGGGAGAAGCAGAGTTCGCTAGACGATGCTTTGGGAGATGGGAAGGGAGGCTGCCTGAATACTCAGCTCTTCGACTACTCACGGGCAGCGGCCAAAAGAAGAAGAGAAAAGAGCAGGATGAGGGGGTCCTAGAGAGATGCTGGCCCCTACCCCATGAGTCTACTGCAGTACCCTCTGTGTCCCCCAAGGATGGCCCTGGGTCTCCACAGGAGGAGTGACCTCTGGACGTGAGCAGCCCTCCTTGGGGTCTGTCCTGCTTGGGTCTGAATGGTGCTCAGCAGGGTTGAATGGCCGTGGGGCTCCAACCTAGAACTTGGACAGTCATCCATCTGTGGCCTTCACAGCCATAAGAGGAAGGAGTCGGTCTCTGGTGGGTAGAGACCTGCCCAAGCAAAGCGTGAGGACATGCATGGTTGGGCCACATGACCAGGATGTCTGAGAGGAGGATCAACAGTGTGTGACCAGGACCACTGGGACAGTGGCAATGACCTGTGATATTTAACCAAAGGCTCCGCATCCAGGGTGTCTGACATTTAACTGAAGGTGTCTGATGTTTAATAAAGGACAGCGGACTCAGGATGTCTGATGTTTAACCAAGTGTGTGTGACCTGGTGTCTGAGTGACATCAGACCTAGCACATCAGCCCAGTGACACCGGCTGAGTGCCAAGGGTATGCTTAGAGTCCACTGGACTCATTCTGTGGTCAGTCTGGACCTCCAGGCCCCTCCACTCTGCTCAGAGCTTCTGAATCTGCCTTCAAGCTGGGGGTGTCTACAGGGAAGGACTTGGCGGGCTGTGTCAAGGGACTCAACGTCCTGGGATCAGCTGGGCCCAGCCTGGTCCAGCTCTAACTGACGCTTGACTGACACCAGCTTCCTCTACGTCCACTCATGGGGCCCTTCCATCTTCATAGGGCCCTGTGGACCATGCCTGCTCCCTCCTTACTCACCACATCCCTTCAGAGGTGGGAAGTCAGCAAACACATTCTCAGAGCTTTCCTTCTGGCTATACCAAATCCTTTCTGTGGTGTAGTTTCCATTCCATCCCCCAGATTCACTTCAGCTAGCAGATTTTTCTCTGGTACAGCAATCAGATGCAGCCCCATCTTCCAGTGGGGAGCAGAAGTCACCTCCCTTGTTCTGGCTCATATACACCTATTAATTTGGTCCAAGCTCCCTCTCAACTTTTGATGACTACTCCATTCTCTGTTATGGCTCAGACCCTCAGGCCTCTGTCTCACATTCTTCTCTCCGGCTTGGACTCTCCATCCAGACATGGTGCTGCCACGGGCCTCTCAGGTGGAGCCTGGCCCATTGCCAATGTTGCCATCACACGAAAGCCATGATTCCAGCCTGCTGGTGGCTCTGGGTCCCATTTCCTGCTGCTGGTCTAGCAGATGTGGCCTGGGACAACAGCTTTTCTTGTTCAGGACACTGATTTCAAGACTGCCTCTTCTGGTAACAGAGTGTGAGTGGAGCACTGTACAGATCAGAGAGGGAACCAACTGTCCTTGCTTTTCTCCTCCTGTCCCTTACAGACCCTGTGTGTCTCCTGGCATCTCCAGTGAAGACCTGCCTGTCTCTAGCTCGAATTCAGCTTGTGTCTGCCCGTCCCAGTGTAGAACCTGCCACACCTCGCCCTTGCACAGACAGTACCCACCCTCCATTCCTCGTCCGCCTCCTCAGCTGCTGGTGCCGGGCACAGAGAAGTCAAAACCCCAAGGCGCGTGCTCCCGACAGGCTTGCAAAGTCAGCTGAGTGGCTGAGAACAGGATTGGGGCTGGTGGTTGCGTGTCTGTGAAGTCAGGACACGCGTGGGAGCGCAATCCTTAGGGGAAGGAAGTCTCAAAGGTGGGGTGCAGGGCTGCGTGAGGGCACGGTGTGTCTGTGACCATGTCTGTGACATGCGAGCTGTTGCCTCTTACTCGGTCCAGAGCCTGGTGCCTGCCTGCTTCCCGTGCTGGGGCCCGAGACCCCATCAAGCCCTCTCTTGGGGCCCTGGAGTGTGGCAAGCAGGCAAAGGGCCAGCTTCCGCGGTAGCAGGGGTACAGGTAAGGCTCCGCCCCTGTAAGGTTGGCACAACTCTCCTCCAAGCCATTCTTCTCCTTCTGCTGTGGCCAAGCTGCTGGGCAAGGGCAGACAGCTGTGGCGGGTGGTGCCACGGGCCCCCCCACAGGAAGAGCAGAGGGTGGTGGGTGAGAATCCCTTCCCTATCACACCAGCAGCAGCACAGCAAGGAGCCTTTTGGGAGGCTGAGGAACCAAGAGGAAGGGCAGACCCTGGCGTTCTTCCTGCTCCAGCCCTACGCTGCTGTGCAGCCCTCCCCTTCGATGTAGACGGCCCCTCATGGGGCTGCTGGCAGAAGGTATAGCCAGCACCACAGCCACCGCACTGAATGCCACCCTCTCCTCTCTGCCCTCCCTCCCTTCCCCTCCAGGTTTGGTTTCCATAACAACCCCAGAAGGTGGGAGGGAGGCTGTGCTAACTAGCAGGTAATGCCCAGCTGGGAGGGGGCCCCACGAAGAGCTCCGGCTGGAGGGTTGCCTGGCAGGCTTCCTGGCACACCCCCCTGACCCTCCCACAGCCCCTAAATTGGGGGTGGGGAATCAGAAGCATCAGACTGCGGGTGCCTCTCCTGGTTACAAGTTAGGAGACTTGGTTTTAGTCCCAGTGTTGCTGCTAACTCATTCTATAACTTTGGGCAAGTGGTAGGCTCTCTCTGAGCCTCAGTTTCTCCATCTGTAAAACCAAGGGTGGGATGGGGAATTTCATCGAATAGAACTTTTCTGCCACTCAAGGCTCCTCTGATTATCCTAGGCGTCCCATGTTATTGAACTGTTTTGGCTGTAGGATGATGTGTTTCACTGCATTACCATAGCACTAATTCATTGTGTTCATAACGCGGAATCTCTGTCAATCGGAGCTGCCGGGCGAGTCCAGTCCAGAGCACAAACCTACATTTCAATGGGTCCATGCGGCCCCCGGGGAACTGAGTGTGACATTTCTGTGAGATGCTCAGAGACGTGGAAACAGTCTGGTGGCCTCTGAGGCCCTGTTCTGCTTTGTCACCCCTGGTTCTGGTTCAGAGCGAAGGTAGGCAGGCCAGCCGTGGTGAGGATTACACACCTGCTCTGTGATGCTGAGCAGAAGGAGCGGGTCCCCAAGGGATCTCATGGGGACTGAGACTGGGATTCTCTCCCCAAGCAGGACAGGAGGACGTGCTAAGGGCCTGAGGTCATGCAGAGCATCTCCCAGAGACATGGGCTGAAGACGGGCCGAAGCCTGGCCCCTGCTGTCAGACAAGGGGCCCAGTGCGACCCCTTTCCTGGGGTCTGGGAGTGTCACTGCCGTGACACAGTCCTGCTGAGGCTCCAGGATGGGAAGGTAGGGATGGATCAGGCAGACGCTGTGTCCTTTCCTGTGGAAGCTCCCTTCCTGTGACACTAGGCCCTCAGGGGTCCAGGGATCACTGCCCCGCTCCTCGAGGGCCCGGCCAGCAATCCTACTCCATTTCCAAGTCAGTGCAATAGCTCATGGCTCCGACATGAGAGTGCTCCCTCTCTCCTCAAACCTCAGACATGCCTCCCTACTCTGTGTTCTCGGCTGATGACCCTGCTTCTTATCACTGAGAAAATAGAAGCAATCAGAAGAGAAATTCCTTCTCTCATCATCTACTCTATCCAACACCACCTGAAATTCTGCCTGCCCTGCTCTTAAGGTCAAGGTTCCCCCCAGGCCCTGGATTCCCACCCCTCGGGACAGCTCAAGGGCTTTGCTCTGCAATTTGCCCCTCCTCCATCATCAGACTTCCCTTCTCTACTGGATCCTTTCCATCAGCCCGCAAAGATAACTCCAGATGTCTACACTTGCTCCACCTCGCCTCCTTCCACTCTCTCCAGCCCTGTCTAATCAGACGTATGTCCCTCAACCCACTGGAACCTGTCTTGTCAAGGTCATCAATGATCTTCACGTTGTCCACTCCAATGGCTGGTCCATTCTTGGTTCTCTCCTTCCTCGGTCTCCTTGCCGTACCTTTCCAGTTGAATCACTCTGCTCTCTCCTGGTTTCCCTCCACCCTCCCTGGCAGTTCCCTCCAGTTTTCTTCACTCAATCCTCCTTCTTTCCTGACCTCGAGACCCTAGAGCATCCTTCAGTATAGTCCCCAGGCAGCTTCCCTTCTCTGGCTACACTCACTCCTAGGTGATGTCTTTCCAGGCTCCTGGCTTTAAATGCCATCTACATCCTGAGGGCTTCTAAATTTCTATTTCCACCTCGGACCACTTTCCTGAACTCCAGACTAGAATATCCAGACACCTACTCAATCTCTCACACCAGGTGCTTTCAAATTTAATACATTCCAAACTGGACTTTTGATTCTCTTCCTCCCTCAGCCAGCTCCTCCCACCTTTCTCCGTTTCAATGGGTGGTAACACCATTCACCCAGCTACTCAAGCCAAGAACCACCTGGGGGTCTCCTGCCTGACCCACCTTCAAAATACATCCAGAATCTGACCATGTCGTTCACCTTCTCCACTTGGACGCTGGTCCCAGCCACTGTCACCTCCCTCCTGGCTACTAAAACAGGCTCCTAACTGCTCTGCTTCCACCGTCACCTTCTACAGTCTCTTGTCCACACAGTAGCCAGGGCGAACTTCAGAGAATGTAAATCAGAGCACGTCACTCCCTGCTCTTAACCCCCACCTGGCTTTTACCTCCACCTCTAAGGCCGCACAACCTACCCCACCACTTTGCATCCTCATCTCCCACTGCTCTCTCCCTTGTTCACTTGGCTTTGCTTGGGCCTAAATCTACACTGGATTGGGGGCAAGTGGCAGCCTCTCTCTGAGCCTCAGTTTCCCCAGCTGTAAAGTGGTGGGCTGGAGTCAGCTCACAGGGTACCTAGAAACAGGTTCTGATGCATTTTCTAGCCACCAGGTTCACTAGCTAGTTTGAAAGCATCCCATGAGCAGGGCCCAGTTTCCCCCTCTGCTCTCTCCCTCACAGCAAGGCTGAGCTCACAGCAGGGCTGCTCATGTCTGGGTTAAATAAAGTCTTTGTCATGAATGGGTGGATTCAGTGAATCTGAGAGTCCTAGTAAGGAAGAGCTGAACTGAACCTCTTATACCACCTGGCCCAGCACCATCCTTTCACAAGCGGGGAAACTGAGGCTCTGCAAGGGCAGGGAATATAACCCTCACCATCTCTGCCTCTTGCCAAGGTGTGGAGCCCAGTCCTGCACACACTGGGTTCTCCACACACATCAGGCTTCCAGAAAGAGTTTGATGGCTCAGCCCTGACCACGAGTCCTGCACAGGAGACCCTCCCTGAGCAGCTGTCCCCACTAGAACACAGCAGCCACTGCCCGAGACAGCCAGAGTGCAACGCCTCAACCCAACCCCCCTGCAAGGGACTCCTAGGCAAGGGAGTGAGGTCTCAACCTGCACAGACCAGGCTGCGATGATGTTCACCTTCTGGAGGACTCAGTGTGTGTCCTTGGCCTCAGTTTGCTCATTTGGAAAATAGGGATCAAGAATCCCTATCCAGCCTACCTCCTCTGCTGGTGTGAGGACCCAATGGATCATGTCAGTGATCAGGTGCCATAAAATGTGCCAGAAATGGAGTCTATGAGCAGAGAGAGCAGACATGCTGGTGTGCCCGGCATGAGTTCCCAGGGAGGCCTGGTCACTTCTCCAGGCCCCTTCTCTTCCCTGCAGTTTCATCCTTAATCACCTTGGAGTCTGGTTACTGTTTCACAGTGGTCCAGAGATTTCAGGCCATAATACTGATTTCCCTTGTCAGAAAGGGCAGAGGATGCTAAACCAGAATCTTAATGATGTCCCTTGAGCACAGGGCTGCTGGAAAGCCACAGATGAGCCAGTGGACCTGACCACCGTGACCCACCTGAGCCACTTTGGACCCATCTTTCCCACTAGGATGAGCTGAGGGCCTCCATCCTGTCTCCTCCTGCTACAGCAGTCAGGAGGGCTGCCCTACAGCCCCGAGCAGAGCTGCACGTGGACTGCCCCAGGGAGCTGAGAGGGCTTGGCAGCCCGGGGCCGAGAGTGGCACACACGCCCCTCAGGGTGGCCTGGGGTGGCACAGCATGGTGCAGCGAGCAAGGTACTTACGCCATGACAATCACGCTGAAGTCCAGCCAGTTCCACGGGTCCCGAAGAAAGGTGAATGCATGCAGGCAGAAGCCTCGAGCCAGAATCTTGACCAGAGACTCAAAGGTGTAAATGGCAGTGAAGGTGTACCTGGGGAGGAGAGACCGGCGGGGTTTCTCAGGAGGCCGAAGCCTACAGGCCAGGTTCGCCAGGTTCCCCACACGGCATGAGCCCCATGCAGCTCCTCTCTCAAGAGGCCCTCAGACCCCCGGAGGCTCTCTGCAACATCGCCATTGGCAGAGCTGGAGTTGGGGGCTGGAGCTTTATTCCAAACATCCGGCTAACTAATGCATCTTCCCCCTTGGTGATTTAGCATTGTTGAGTGCCTGCCATGAGCCCATCTGAACCCTCCACCTTCTCTCTCCTGGCTGTGTTGGTGTAAGAAGACGTTCCATCTACCCCCTCACCCCAGCCCTGGGGGTCCATGTACATAGGCATCTGGTGGCCACCGTGGAACAGTAAGGACACTCAGAGTCACGGCCCCTCACCCTTGTTTGTGGGTCCTCAGGCAGCTAGTGATGGGAGCATGGTCTGTCCTCAACCACCTATAGGTAGGTGTGGGCACAGCTGTCTGCCTTGGGCTTGGAAAGGGGGTTAATGTTCTAACACTGACGGCTGGCTGGGGGCCTTTTCTCTCTGCCCGGGATGGGCTGAAGAATCCCAAATGCCTGGATGCCGGGACTGTGGCCCAGAGGGCTGGAATGGGAGAGGGCCACACCCACACTGCTTCCCAGGTCTCAGCTGCTGGCTGTGGGCCCTGGTTTTGGTAAGAGAGGCTGTCCCTAACATTCTGTCGGTCCTCTCAAGACAGGAGCCAACTGCACCAAGGGCCTCTCAGCTCTGCTTAGAACCTGGGGGTGAGGTACTTTCATTTGGGAAGAGAGGACCAGAAATAGTTCTCTAAAACTGCACAAATGGTTTGAGGCGGGACTTGGGGACAAAAAGGCAGCAGAGTGTGGTAAAAGTGGGGAGATCTCTGGGCCTTTCTCAGTGGCCACACCTCCTGGCTGCATGGTTTTGGGCAAGTAACTTCTCCAGTTCTCAGTCTCTTCATCTGTCACATGGGGAGAGTGGCTGTGCCTTCCCGGTGGAGCTGCCCTGAGGGTTAAAGGAGATGCTGCCTATTGTTCTATGATCGCGCTGGCATGCACTAAGGGCTCAATAAATTACTATTATTTCAGAGCCTTCTCCAAGGTCATCAACACTCTTTAGAGTGCGACAGGGAGACATCCCCACTTTGCCAACCTGGAGAGCTTCCTCCCCCGAGGGCACAGCTCAAAGCCAGAAGTTGGCAGGCCTGGGAGTAGAGAAGGAGGGTAGGGGCTTGGCCAAGGGACCCCAGGTGGGTGACTCCCTGGGCCTCTTTTGGGGTGACTTTAGGGGCTACAGTATGGAATGGAAAAGGGAGGACAGAAGGGGCCAGCTGGAGAGGCCCTAAAGATACTCACTCGACATACTTGGTCCAGGGTGGAGGGTCGTGCTGGGCCATGAACACGCAGTTGGTCAGGATGGTGCACATGATGAGCATGCTGAAGAGCGTGGCGAGGGTCAAGGAAAGCTGCGTGCAGGGGGCCAGCTGGCCACTGCTGCCAGAGGGGCCTGGCCCTGGGGTTGTCACTGCCAGGCCAGTGCTGCCAGATCAATGCAACAGGGGCTCCAAGGAGACACACTTGGGCTGTGCCAACCTCTCCCCACCGAGGCTGGCCTCTGTCCCCTCCCTGGCACTTGCAGCTGGACAGCTGCTCTGCTCCACAGCCCCTGGCAGGGACCAGATACCTGAATTCGCCCCTTTGGCAGGGTCCCCTGGAGGGTCCATCCTGGAGGGAAGGGAGGAAGGGCCGACCCCCAGACCTCAGAGATTTAATCCTGGAGCCACACAGGAGTGCTGTCCTCAGCCACAATGGAGGGAGAGGCATTTATAAACTGTTCCTCAGGGGCCAGTGTGGGAGAGGAAGGCCATGGGGCAGGGCTCCGAGTCCCCTCCCCACTTCTTTAGGAGCCACTCAGGCTGAACTCTGGCTTAGGACTTCTCTGAAAAGCTGTTCTGCTGCCAAAACTTAGACATCTTGTGAGAACACACTGCCCCTGGGGGAGGCAGGTGCTGCTTCCTGACTTTGCGCATGTTCCTCACGCCTGTCCTCTGCTCCACCTGATGTACTCCTTGTCTTCCTCCAAGAAACCCCTCAGCAGAAGCACCCCTCAGCAGGAGCACCCGTCAGCAGGAGCACCCCTCAGCAGAAGCTCCCCCTCAGCAGGAGCACCCCAGCAGGAAGATCCCCTCCCCGAGCAACCTGCCCTGACCTCGGTTGCTGCAGCCCCTGCACCCCCAGGGCACGGGGCATCCCCTTCTCATTGCAAGGTTGCTCACTGAATGGCAATGTCCACCTGTCCCTCACCAGCAGGGGAGCTCTTCAAATGCTGGGACTGTCTTGGGCATCCTTCTGGGCCTTTGACCTTGAATTGAACTACCCGAGGCCTTGTCTGACCCCTGACTCTTTGGCTACAAGTCCTAGCTGCTGCTTTTGGCTGGACGAAGCTCTGATCTTCACAGCCTCCTTCACCTCTGCAAGGCCTGCTGAGAAGCAAGGGACAGACGCTCAGTCTCTTGTGGGCTGGGATCCCCCAAGGGCTTGGCTGAGAACAGGGACACTCTGTTGCCCTCACAAATCCCCTCCCCAGCCAGAGAGGAGAGGCTGGGCCTCCCACGCCCTGCCTGCGGCTGCCCCCAGGCTCACCACACCACCCCAGCCTCAACCCCAAGCGCAGCAGCAGCCGCCAGCTCTGCGATCCCTCAGGCTGCCCGGGAGCTGCAATAATTGAGCTCCAGGGGCCTGCCTCTTTCCTCTCTACCAGAGCTCCACCCTCTTCCATCGCCTGGCTCAAACTCAGGCCCGAGGGGAGGCCAAGGCAGTCAGCCTGGAGACTGGGCTGAACTCAAGTACTGACTTCTAAGTAGGGGGTGCCCCAGCTGGGGAGAGACGTGAGGCCTCTCAAGGAATCCAGGTGGATGCCCTCCATACCTCCAGGCCTACTTCTAGGCAACCAGGCAATAGCAGACCAAACCCAGCCCCCAGTTTATAATAAATTCTCATCTGACATTGGGCTTTGGGAACCCCTCTTAGTCAAACCAGAGTTGCTCAGCTCAGAAACCATGGCCCCAGGAAGCCTTGATTTCTCCCTGGCCAGAGAGACCTCTCCTGGCATCGCGGTCCCTCCCTCAGCTTGGCATCTGCCCATCCCTCTGGGGGTCTCCAAGGCAGGTCTCTCTCCTTCTCCAGCTTTCAAGGGCAGGATCAGATACACATCTCAGTATCCCTTCTCCCTTACACACACACACGTTCCCCACACCCGGGCTCTGTGCCAAGGCTTTCCTTGCTGGGCAGACAGTTAACGAACCCCTCAACCAGCCTTTATTCATCCCCACAGATCCATTGCTAAACCATCTACTGAGGATGCCAGATGATTCCTGAAATATGAAAGTAATGATGCTAAGAGCAAATATTTACTGAGCCCTTCCCAGGTGCAAGGCTCTGCTCTCCATATCCACTAACTAATTCAATTCTCCCAACAACCCATGAGGGGGGACTTCGTCTCCATTTCACAGACAAGGAGATGGAGGCACCGTGAGGTTAAGTTAAAGGATACTATATTAAGAAGAATAACAGCCCCCCAAAGACGACCACATCCTAACCCCTGGAAACTGTGAGTGTTACTTTACACGGCAAAAGGCACTCTGCAGATGTGATTAAATTAAGGATCTTGAGATGTGGAGATTATCCGGGATTATCTGGGGGGGCCCAATGTCATCACAGGGTCCTCAGAAGTGAAAGAGGGTGGCAGGAGAGTCAGCGTCAGAGGGACGCACGTGAGAAAGACTCCGCCAGCTGTTGCTGGCTTTGCAGACAGAAGGGGACCATAAGCCATGTAGATTCCAGAAACTGGAAAAGCCTAGAAAACAGTTTCTTCCCTGGAGCCTCCAGGAAGGAAGGCCTGCAGACACCTTAACTTTAGCCCAGGGAGACCTTTTTGGATTCTGACCTCCGGAACCGTGAGATGCTAAATTTGTGTTGTTTAGAGCCACTAAATTTGTGGTCATTTGTGACAGCTGCCACAGAAAACCACTCCAGGTACAAAGCTGGCCCATGGCAGAGCCCGCTCTGAGCCCTGGATGACCCAGCGCAAGCCTCCACTCTGAGCCCTGCTGTGGCACTGTCTGCACGATGACACCCAAGGTCGTTGGTCCATTCCCCTGCCTCCAGACTGAAGGGCCTGCGTGAGTCGCACTGCGCAGGCTCCCATCTGCCAAGTGGGAATGCGATCTCACACCTGGACTCTGCCACCCACGGGACAGTATGAAAACCAAATGAGTGAAGGGCTCCGTAAAGTGTGAGCAGACTGCCACCCAGGAGGAGGAATGGAACTGTCATTTTGCAGAACAAACCTCACCTGAGCATGTGTGCCTGGCCCTGTGTGAGAGACAGGGAGGCATCTGAGCCACTGAACTGCTCCCAGATGGGATGTTATGAGAATCCAGACCCGCCTCTGGCTGGACTGGGCAGGAAGGCTTCCCAGAGGAGGCATTTAGACAGGCACTGAAGGCCAGCTAGGGTTCCTCCAGCAATCAGTCAGCCCAGCTGGTCATGGCGAAGCAGGCTGGGCTGAGGACTGGGGAGACCCCCTCCCTGTGGAGCCAAGCCTCTCTGGGCTGTAGGCAGAGTGCTCACAGCTCTCATTAGAGTGGAGAAAAGGCCCCTCGGCAGAAAGCAGTGGTGTGGGCAGGCTGCCTGGGACCAGAGGACTTGGCTGGACACAGACAAGGTGAGCTGAACTCTAACACAGAGACTTAGGGAAGAGACATAGCAGACAGCCCTTCTGAGTCCTGAAAGACAGGGCCTGGGTTGAATGGTGGGAAATAACAGGAGCCACTTGTCTGGGTTTTGGCTTTCCAGACATAGCAATGGCTTAGGGTGAGATGCGGCAGACTCTAGTCTCTGCCACTTGGTGTCCAAAGCCCTGCCTGGCTCTCCTGGCCTTGAGGACAGCCCTTCACTATTCCCAGTCACTCCTGTGTATGTGTGTGTGCCCGTGTATATGCATGTGTGTCATCTCTTCCTCCCTAGACTGAACCTCTAGTCCTTGTGACTCTCCCCAAAGCGTCCCCAGGTGCCCCATGGAGCCAAGCACACAGCCAATACCAGAGAGATGAGCCAAGTGCACTCCTGGCCAGGGCACACCTGTTTGCCCTGCCTGGTAGTTTCAGACTGATGACTGAGCGGGTCCCATGTGTAGGCAGAGGCAAAGGCCAGCTCTCCAGGCCTGAGCTCAGCTGAACATCTTCGATCTTGTCGTGTCATTGTCCCCAACACCCACTCCCAGCCTCATAATTAAAATGCCAGCAAGGACTGCCTGCATGGTTTGTGGGGAATGACTGAAACTTGGCCTGCCTGTCTTCACTCCCCAAGAAGTGAAAAAACTCCCAAAGAGAAGGGAATTAACTGTGGGGGGTACTTTCAGATATTTGTGCTATTAAATGAACATGCACACATACACACACACACACACACACAAACATGTGGTTTGATTGCCCATTTGAATCTGCTAGAGGAACGTGGGAGGATTTTGTGAACAGATCCTGCGCACCCAGGAAGGCACAATGCTTCTCGGCGTGAGCGTGAGGCCTCTGGATGTGACTACAGCGGAATGGGGAGTTCAGTTGGTTCCTTCTATTTAATCCTGGCAGGAACACGTTCTGCAGGATTCTAACAAAAATATACAGGAAAAAATAATTCTGCATGCCCATATTTACTTTTTAGGCAACTTCCCAGGGATGCATTGCAAGCGTGGAGCACAGAGCAAAGCCAACTGAATTATCCTGCACTTGCTGGCATGTCACTGTGAACGTGTGGATGGTGGCAAGTGAGCAGGTTCTCTTTCTGCCTGGTGGCAGATTTCTTGAGAGCAGGGACTGCATTCCTGCCCCTTTTAAGGTTGTCTTCGCCCCTCCGGCCCTTTTGAAAGGGCCTGGCACAGAACTGTGCATGTGTGGGAACTCAGATGTTTGAGTGGATATAAAAATGTAAGCCAACAATGAGTATAGACTTTTGGATTTGGAAGATGAAAAAGTTCTAGAGATCTATTGCACAACGAGCATGTGGTTAACACGACTGTACTACACACATAAAAATGGTTAAGATGGCTGGGGGCTGGCTCCATGGCTGAGTAGTTAAAGTTCTGCACGTTCCACTTCGGCGGCCTGGGTTTGCAGGTTCGGATCCTGGGCGCGGACCTGCTCCACTCATCAGCCATGCTGTGGTGGTGTCCCACATACAACATAGAGGAAGACTGGCACAGGTGTTAGTTCAGGGCTAATCTTCCTCAAGCAAACAAAGAGGAAGGTTGGCAATGGATGTTAGCTCAGAGTGAATCTTCCTCACCAAAAAAAGAAAAAAAATTGGTGAAGATGGCAAATTTTATGTTACGTGCTTTTTATTACAGTAAGAAAAACATGTAAGCAGAGTGAAAGTTCACAATTCACGACTCAAAAAAGTTCATAATGCAACATGAAATCTGTGTGTGTTAGCAAGGCATAGTGACTACTTATGGGCATGGAATTTCTTTTTGGGGTAACGAAAATGTTCTGGAATTAGATAGCAGTGATGTTCGTGCAACTATATAAATACACTCAACTCCACTGAATTGTAACTTTAAAATGGTAAATTTTATGATATGTGAATTATATCTCCATTACAAAAGAGAGAAATGCATGGAGAGCGTGTAGATTCCTACACTGATGATTCTGGTCTGGACAGGGCTAAGAGTCTGCATTTTTAACAAACTTCCCAGGTGAGTCTAAGGTGGCCTTCACAGATGACACTTGGAAACAACTGCCCTAGGGCAGTGTGCGCACAAATCATGGGGACCTTGCTGAAACCACGTCCTGGGGTGGGGTCGGAGATTCGGCAGTTCCTACAAGATCCTTGTGATGCTGATGCTTCTGGTCTGTGTACCACACTTTGAATGGCAGGTTCAAGGGCACACAGGAGGCTCCCAAACCCCACAGATCTTGGCCCTTCCTCTCCCCCAGTGCCCCCTGAACCCACTAAGGGGCGCTGTTGAGGGCCCACAGTGTGCTCCCACCCCCAGGCAGTGGAGTGTCAAGGCAGCTGCAGGCAGCCCAGCACAGGGCCTCACTGAGGCAGAGCCACTTCCCTGGGGCAGCTGCCCTGGGGGACATAGGCTGGCTCAGAGTCCTCAGGGACTGTGGGTGAAGCCAGCACCTCACAGCCTCAGAGCCACTGCTTAATGGACCCCCTGGCCAGGCTGGGGACTCCAGTGCCCCCACCGCCTCCCTCGACCACCTGCCTCGTGGCCTCATCCGCCCCACGGCGCAGTCCAGGGTCTTGCAGGAACCCTGGGGCTGCTGCTGCATCCCTGGGGGCCGCTGTGGCTGCCAAACAGTGCTGGGTTGGTTAGATACGGGGAGGAGAAGCCCCAGGTGGGAGCTGGAGCATGCTTTCACGGAGGCCATGCCCCTGGAGTGCTGCTGGAGACAGGCTCAGAGTGAGAAAGGAGGCTGGCCTTTCCTCCTCCCGCTGCACAGCTCTCACCAGGCTGTGCCCACCCGCTGGCAGGAATGACAACTACTCATGTGGCTGTCTCATCACTCTTAGGGAACTGTAAAATTCCCAAAGGGGTAAGGACAGGCTCTTATTCAGCTCGATACCCCCAAGGTGCCCAGTAAAGTGCCTGGCACTTACAGGGAGCTCGGAAACAGTGTCAGAATGGCTCAAAATTAAATATAGAACCACTGTTGCTTCACAAAGTAAGATGCGGCTGTGAATGGCAGGCTGCCCCCTCAATGGAGCCCCTCCCTAAGGTATCTGCCACCCTAGAAACCACTCTGCTGATGCCACAGCCACGAGCTGTGGGGGGTTTTCCCGGACACACATGTTTCTCAGGAGCCCCTGAGAAAAGCAGCAGTGAGCTGGAAGAGGGAAGAGAGCATCTGCATGCAGAGAACACATGCAGCACCGAATGCCTCCAATTAACCCCTGGGGTGAGGATCAGGCCCTGGGGCCCAGGGGGCAGAAAGTGGAACCAGGAAGAAGCCTCCCTCATCCCTGCCTGGACAGAAAACTTCCTGAGCATCAGCACCGGTCTCGGTTCCTCAGTCCCTTGCTGGGCAGCCGTTTTCCTGAAGCCTTCTTCCCTGCCCAGAGGTTGATGGCTGAGGTCTCTACCTTGGCCTCTGAAAAGGTTGGTCCAGAGTAGGCAATTGAGGGGTGACCCCGGGAAGCCCTATCGGGCCAGCCACACACACACAACCAATCACACGGCTGAGCCCAGCAGCACTGATTTGATTAACAGCAGAGCCAGCTGCCAGCCAGAGGAAGGGCTGCCCAGGCCGTCACAATAACACACAGATGCCTGACCCTACAGCTGGACACCAGCCCGCCCTGAGAGGCTCCATCTGTGGGGCCCCTTTCCTGAAGTTGGGAGGACAGCTGTGATTGGGTCGTGGCACCCCGTCGCACACACGACCTGAATGAGGCCCTCTAAGGCCCAAAGACCAGGACTGTCCCTTATTACACTGCTGCACCTCAACTGCTCTCCTCCGCAGCCTGCAGCTTTTTTAGCTGTGATTTATATAATTTAATGCTAACCAAAGTTCTCTGAGATACTCTGAAACTGCAAACATTTTGTCAACACTTAATCAAAAAGCAAGTGTTTCCACCCGTGAGAGATGCCCATGTCTGAATAAGCTGAGGTCTTCTTTATTGGGAGGTGGTTTCTCCTTGGCTGAGCCCCCGTGACCTGCTTGAGGTCCCCCAAAGTGGGCAGGGAGATGCAGGGCCAAGCCGGCGCAGTGGGAGGGGACATCTGGAGCCAATATCAGAGCCAGGGGACACTGATAGGCTTCATTTCTTCTGGAGTCCTCAGTAGCTTAACCTCCATGACTTTCTCTCCTGAAGAAGCAGAGCAGGGTTTCCCAAACTTGCATGTGCCCAAGAAGCCCTGGGATCACGTTAAAATGCAGATGCTGATTCGGTAGGTCTGGGGTGGGGTCTGAAAGTCTGCATTTCTAAGCAGCTCCCTGGTGATGACTGTGCTGCTTGTCTGAGGACCAGCCTGGAACTGGCACCACCCTTAGCCCTAAACACCCTGCCCATCCCCACCCCAAACCCCATGTGAGGCTAGAGGGTCCACACAGCATGGACTCACTGCAAAGGATATGAATGGACCAGAATCTTCACGGCCGCTCTCCGGATGGGGTGGAAGGGACTGAGGATATACAAGGCATTGGTGGCACTGAACCGGAAGATGGTCTTGCCTTTATTCAGCACGATGAAGGTCTGTGGACAGAGGCCTGCTTTAGCGGGGTGGCAGCCCCAGGGCCCTGATGGGGAGAGGATTCTAGGGGACAGCTGTTGGCTCAGAGCCCTAGAATCCTAGTCAGAGTTCCCTGGCTAAGGTGTGGGATGGAAGGAAGTGAGAGACTGAGGGAGCGGTAGGGGTGGGGGGGGGGCAGCCAGCACATTCAGCAGGTCAGTGGACCCTCGATGGGTGGCCCATGGCTGGGGTGGGATGAGGTCAAGTTTAGGGGAATGTCAGGTTGGATGGAATTTAGTTTAGTTTTAAAATTACAGTCCCAACAAGAAGGGGCCTTTCGTGATTGTCACAGCAGAGGCCAGGACCCAGCTGATGCCCCCTTCTTCCCCTTCTCCCTTCTGACCGCTCCCCACCCTGCGTAGCTTCCCCACCAGGCCCTGTGGGGAGTGAGGGAGCTGGGTAAGCCAGGAAAACTAATGGGTAAGGAGCAGAGAACAAAAAAATGTAGACCCAAGCCCAGGAGAAGCTTTCTCTGGGACCTCATCTCTTGGAGGGTGGGACAGATGTCAGGTGCATACCACCTGAGAGTAGACAACCTAGTATCTCCCCCTGGAGGGATCATGAGCAGCCCAAGGTAGACCCCGTTCCCAAGCTTCCAGATGACACTGCCTACAGAGCACGAGGGGGCATGGGAATGGACAATGAGCGCTGGAGGCTGAGCCACGTGCCCATCAAGTGGGCCATGTTTGGGCCAGATGCAGCCCCTGAGGACAGCAGTTGGTCCTCCTCTGCCCAGGCTAGGGTGCGCACAGCCGAGGTGGCACAGCTCTGGGGTCTGGCTTCTCCGAGGGTTGGGCTGGTGAGACAAGGTTCTATTTATTCTGGGCTGGGGAGACAAGCTGACCAGACCTATCAGGACCAGAAGTTCTGCTGTGGTGCTTGCATCACCCGGGGGGACTGCAGACAGTGCGGCCCGGTGCCAGTAAGGAGAGACAGGTTAGAGACAGAATCATACCTGGGCCATGGTTCAAGTACTCTCAGACCCAGGGACAAGGGAGAGTCTCCTTGACTCCTTCCATGCTCAACTACCACCAGCCCCCAAAAGCTGAGCCCAGCCCTGACCTCACCCTCAACTGGGTCCCCCTGCCTGGCCCAGTTAACTCCAATCTAATTACCACTTTGACTGGCCGCTGAAACCTTGACTTACCACCAGCTGTAGCTCTAACTCCAACCCTAATTCTTACTTCCAGCTCTGACCAACCATGACCTAGGCCTACCCATCCTGACTAATCCCAACTTCCAGCCTAACTCTGACCCCAACTGTGGCCTCAGCTGCCGACCCTGACCCCACCTGAGTCATGTGAACCAGGGGTAGGAAGCAGGACCAAGTTCAAGGTCTCCTCTCCCAGCTGTGCAGAGAGACTGGGTGGGCTTTCCCTTCCCCCACTCACCCACGTATGTGCACATACACACAGAGACAATCGTGCACCACGCCCACTGTCAGACTCTTGGTCTCCTAAATGCACAGTCACACACACACTCAGGGGCCTGGTGACACAGACACACAGCACTCCCACCTGCCATATTCTCACACGTGCCCTGTGCACACCGAATCCGCCTGCCCTCCAGTGTGTCCTCAGCCCTGGTACTGACAGCAGTAAGGTGAGCAGCCACAACCTCCTGAGTCTTCTGGGGAAAGGCCTCGTCCAAATCAAACCCCCTTCCTCCAACAGCGAGGCCTGACATGTGGGCAGCTGGGTTGGGGACCAGGCCTCTGCAGGAGCCCTGTGTGCCTATGGTCTGGCAGCAGGTGGGGCAGGGCACACAGTCCTGAGAGGTGAGGCCAGGGCAGGGGACCCAGATGGGGGAATTACCTCCGGGGTAGAAATCCACGCTAGGAGGAAACCTGAGTCACCCTGCTCGAGTGGACAAAAGCCACTTCATCTCCCTACACTCAGGAGGGACAATGGCAGAACAGCCTCCCTCCCCACCCATCTCAGATTTCCCATCGCCAGCCTGCAAGGCCCAGGGAGCTGCCGCCGTGGCCCCTAGCCTGAGCCAGCCTGGCACAGCCAAGGCCCAGCAAGTTCTCTGGGGCGGGGGCGGGGGCTACACGCTGTCTCTGGTTAGGAGAGGGGATCACATGCTGTGCTCTGGGGCCCAAACTCCTCTCAGGAGAGGACTCAGGGCCTGACTCCGATTCACACACACCATGGGACACAGGAGTCCTCCAGAGGTGAAGCCTAACCACAGATGATTCCCCAAGGAGGTACTCCACAAGGAGGCAGGAGATCAACCACGGCTGCCCTCTTTCTTTCCTCATACCAAACCTCAGGCTGCACAGTTCTGGCCTTTTATTCTGGAGCTCTAAAATCAAGGTGACTGGAATCTAGAGCACCAGTGACTCACTTCCCGAAGCCCGGAGAGCCCACCCCAAACAGAGCCCCACGTGGAGGCAAAGCCCTCTCCCCGTCTGCTGTGTTGACAGGGGGTGGGTGGCAGTCACCTTTTGGGTGCTATAGAAGGGGTCCAGGTCCTCCAGGGGCTCCCCGATGAGTTCTCGGGGCGGGTTGCCATAGAGATCGGGCAGCTTTTTGGAGGCCTGCAGGTCCAGCTGGGGCCGGGGAGCCTCCTCCTCGGGCAGTCCCTCACGGCTCTCCTGTGAGGCGGCCAAGCCCCGGGCTTGCTTCTCTGCCATGCGCTTCTCGATGGCTGCCAGGGACTCCCGGGTGAACCTTCGGAAGCTGCTGGTGCCCCGAGGTAACAGGAAGTCTGCCATCTTCTCATCCTGCTTCTGGGGCACAGGCTGTCCTCACGCTGCCTGTGGGAAGCTGGAAGACACAGACACCCAGCCTCATGCTACTCCCAGGGCCAGAGTGCAGGGTGGCCAGACCTGCTGGGGAGGGGCTGTGCTGGTAGAGGGAAGGACACGGCTCGCAAAGATGCTCTGGGACCACAGGTTCCCAACCTCTCCGCAGGCAGACCTGGCCGATGGTGGCCTGGGTAAACCCAGACCCCTCTGACTGCTGTGTATGCACGGGGACCCGCAGGAGGGTCACTGCTCCCTTTCCCATCCCAACGAACATGTCTAAATTCGAGTAGGCAGGAGTGACTGTGTCATCAAGGCCCCTTCATTCTGTCCCCCTCAATGCAAAAGGGAACACTTGCACCTGTTGGTTCCTTAACCAAGCCCACTCTGACACTTGAGGCACTTCTTGAGATGGGTGCCGACACACTCTGGACTGAGAAGGACTCTCTGTGGGGCAGGGATGGGACCTGCCATCTTTTTATCCCAGATCCATGGCATGGCTGGTTCTGAACAAATGAACGATGGAGTGAATGATAAAGAATATGCGGGTGAGGGGCAGGGCATTGGAAGGGACCTCGTGCCGCCCCCTCTCAAGCTTGTCCCTTCTCTAGGAAACCCCCGGGCGCTAGGGAGGGTGGTCAGAGGCCTCCTGGGCCAATGAGGAATTCTGGGCTTCTTTTCTGAGCAGATCCCCAGTCTGGGTGGTGGGGCTCCCCTCAGCGCCATGCGCCTGCATGGGGGAGGGTGCCTAGACTTCACATGCAAGTGCCAACATCTGGCAACTGATGGGGCATGTGTGTCTGCCAAGCAAGACCCAGGAAAATCCTGTAGGGTTTTGGAAACAGCCGGGCAACAACTTTGGAACTGTCATCTAGATGTTGGCACCTGGGTGTACAGAGCTGCAGTGGAGCCCTGCTGAGAGGATCTCAAAGAAATCCCCAGGGTGAGGCATCCTTCCCAAGACGGGAAACACGGACGGACGGAGCATCTCAGGCTCCTCACACCTCCACTCACTCGCCTCCGCTCCAATCTGAACAAACGACAGCCGATTCCAAGTGACAGCAGCACCGGAAAACAGTGATCGCTCATCCACCAGGACGTCCAGCCGGCACAGGCGTGTGACATCAAACCGGGAGAATGCGGCCCCCAGTGGCCTCAAATGATCTAGGACCTGGTGCGAACACGCTCTGCCTATGACATGGAGGCTGAAGAATGTGCTCCTGACTGCCCCACCAAAACAGGATGTGGCCGGCACAGCTCCTGATGGGGACACCACCAGGACGGGGAGGCCGTGTCACCAGTTACCACATCAAACCCGGGAATGGCCGGGCACCAGCTCAAGGGGGCAGGGTGGACACCTGTTAGAGATCTCTGCCAGGACAGAATCCCTTTCCATCAACCAAGGGTCAGCTTTGCCTTGATTTTACTCCTATGAAACATGTCATCAATGACCCACTGAGCTGCTGCCACACCAACCCTTGCACACAGGCTGCAAAGGGCTGAGCCCCAAGCACCACGGATTGCTGTGAAGGAGGCACTTGGCCAGGTGACAGGTAAACAGTGAGCAAACACAACACAGCCAGGCCTCAAAAGGGCGCCTCTGGTCCCTGGAGATGTGCATCATGGAATGTGCGAAGGAGGCTGGAGGAGAGAGGTCCTAGGACCCATGCTTTTAGGAACCACCCCTTCCTTCAGCATCTTGCTCCTCTCTTTCATTCAAGTAAAGTGAAAGGACTACCTTTGTTAAAAATAGCAGATGAGGGAGTAGGTTCCCATTTTATAAACGCATGTCCTTGTCTACCTTCCATCTTTGAGTGAACAAAGAAAGGTGTCTGTAATACTCATCACCAAATGCGAATGGTGATTTTTTTTTCCTTAGCTCGTGGATATTTGGGTAATTTTAAACTTTCGTCTTTGTACTTTTCTTCATTGCTTGAATTATTTATGATGATCTTGTATTATTTTTACAAAAACAATAAAATCACTGTTCTTTTTAATTAAAAAAAAAAAAAGCCAGCCTGGATGACAGCAGCCTTGCAGGGCAATCCTCTCCACACGAGCAATCGCGAGTTCCGTAAATCAAGAAGCCTCCTCTTTTGCTTGGAATTATTTCCTAAAAATAGTGTTCTCTGTCTCACTGTATCCATCTGTGTCCACACGCCTGCAAGGGTTCTGGAGACACGTGTACGCCCATGGACCTGCAGAGGCTCACCAGTAGAGACCGACGTGTGTGTGTGTGTGTGTGTGTGCGCGCGTGTGTGTGTGCGTGCCCGTGCCCGCAAACTGACCCTACAGATACATCTGTTCTAGTAAAGGTGTTTTTAAAATTTGTATTGAAATCAATAATTCATGCAGATTGGTGCACATACCCTAAATGCACAAGTGGATGAATTTCCACAAACTGAACGTACCTGGGAACCAGCACCCAGGTCAAGAAATAAATTGTTCCTAGTCCCTCAGACCTGGGTTCCCCTCCAGTCACTAACCACCAGGGATAACCACTCTCCTGACTGCTAACAGCATAGATTAGCTTTGATCATCCATATCATGCAGGGGTTCCTAACAGGCCTTTTGGAGGGATGGGGAAAGAATTCAGGGGGAAATTGCGTCTCACTCTCATGAACTCTAACTGAAATTTAGCATTTCCTTCAATTATGAATGTAGGCAGCAAAATGGAAGTGTCAGCAGTACCCTATCCCACCACAGGTGCTGCAGGGTCCCTCCATGGCCAAGTGGTTAAAGTCCCATGTGCTCCGCTTCGGGGCCCAGTTTCCCAGGTCCAGATCCTGGGTGGGGACCTACTCCACTCACCAGCCATGCTGTGGAGGCATCCCACATACAAAGTGGAGGAAGATTGGTGCAGACGTTAGCTCAGGGCTAATCTTCCTCAAGCAAGGAAAAAAAAGAGGAGGATTGGTAATGGATGTTAGCTCAGGGTGAACCTTCCTCACCAAAAAAAAAAAAATTACAATACTCCTTAGACCCACTGCTAGATTGTATTATTTAATACATTAATAAAGAAGCCCTGACAATGGGGCCCTGGGTCCTCAGAAGCTTCTGTCCCAGCTGGACTCCAGCAGATCACCCAAACCCTTGGGGCTTGGTGGTTTCTGAAACCAGATTCCAGATGATGTTCCCTGCTCCCCAGCAGCCAGGCAGCCTCAGGTTCCAAAATACACCGGCCAAGAGTGTCCTTTGTCTCTGGGTCCCACAGGCGGCTCACGGTGGGCGGGCAGGATCCTTTCCTCCCTTGTTCTCTGTCTCCCGCTGCCTGCACCTGGCTCTGGCCCTGCCCTTCCTTCAGCAGCTCAAGGCCCACGCCCTGCTGTGGTGGAGACTGGCTGAGCTCTGGCTGCAAGGTTTCCGGGGATGCCAGGGAAGGAGGGGTTGGGGGTGGTCTAAGGATGCTCTAGGCTCAGGCCCAGCCATACCCTAAGGCCTAGGAGGTCAAGTCCCCAGCTTTCCAGGGAGGACCCACCCCTAGCTGGGGAAGAGCAGGGGGCCTCTGCCTTGCACAGCTCCATCATGCGGGGGAGACTGGACTTGATCTGATTGAAAGAGCACAGCTCCTCTTCTAGACGCCAGCATTCCGTGACTCTCTCCTCTCACCCAGGACAGCTTCTCCATCTGCACCAGCCCTGCTGCCGCTCCCTGGGCTAGGACAGCTTCTTCCAGCTGACCACTCTCCCTGGGCCAGTTTCCCCTATCCTGTCAGCTTCACTCGAGCTCTAGGGACCCGCTACTCCATCCTGTCCCAAGTTCATCAGCTTCTGCTTACTGGGTGCATCTCTCCCTACATTCTGGTGGTTCCTGAGAGTTAATGGGAACAAACTATGAATGCTCCTTTTCAAACTGGTTCCTCCTTACGTCCCTTCCTCTGACACTGGCTACAACCCCACACCCCCACCAAACTTCACAGCCCCCATCCCCAATGCCACTGCCCTGGGACAGGCATCCTCGTCCCAGCTGGGACCATGCTGATCCCACTACCACTGGCCTCCTCCCTTTTACCTTCCATCCTCCACGTGCAGCTCCCACCACTCCCTGGCCTAGACATTCCCAAACACTTCCCCAGCCCTGTGCGAGGGCAGAGTGACCTCAGGCTCTCCTCACTACCCCATCTCCTCCAGGACACTTCCTCTGACTGCCCACCCACACTGACCTCACTCCTCTGGGCCAGGAGGCTGAGCCCCACCCCCAGTCCTTGCCCCCTTCAGGCCTCAGCTGCTCTCTGACAGGCCATGGGGGCAATTCTGGTCTCCCCAAACAGCCTGAAAGCTTCTCGCGCCCTCCTCTGAGTCATTGGCCTGTATGTATGGATGTCCACATCAGGGCAGAGATATTGTAGGGAAGAATATTGACTGTTCACACCAGACTGGACTGTCCTGGACGGTCTCCTCTTTTTGTCTCTTCAATAGGCCTGCTGGGCGGAAGATTTCCTGAATGCACAGGGCAGAGAGCTGGTTCTCAATCAATGGTGGTTACAAAGCTATGACACAGAGCATGACAGGCTGGCAGCCCAGAGTGCAACTGTGGGTACTGTCTGGGATGGGGCGGTGATATTCAGGATTTCCCCTGTTTTAGCAGTAGAATTCCTGTGTCTGAGATACCTTCAGTCCCAGACAAACCAGGACGGTTGTTCATCTGAGGGGTGAAGAGGGACTCCACTCCGGCCTAACCCCTCCTTGCAGCCCCTTCCTGCCCATTGCCCTCCTGGATCCCGAGGGCAGGCACACTCCAGCGTCCTGAGTCACGTCTGGCATTTTGGTCGCCTTGGAATCAGGAGCCTCTGGAACACAACATGCAAAGAATATTCTTTGCCATGTAAATTTATGCAAAACGCTCGGTGGAAGTGGTTCCTAGGCTTCCTAGAAAATCTCTGCTGGCTTCCTCTGCTCTGGGCTCCTCTCTCTCGCCCTGCAGGCCGGGGTGACCTGGGGCTGGAGCACCCACCACCCTGGGCACTCGTTCCACCTGTGCCCCGGCCCCATGGCACTGCCTCCCGCTGCCCCTCCATCCTAA